ACCTCGGGAGTGAAGAATGCTTGTTTTCGCGAAATATCGAAAATCGCCATGGGGATGGCGCCGTCCATGGCGGGATTGGATTTCAACTGCTCAGCCGCACGCTTGTCAATGACCTTGGCTTGTGCCTTGGATGGTTCAGGCAAGGAGCTGCCATCAACGTCTTCCTCATCGTCGTCGTCGTCGTCGCTGCCAACAATGCGAAGCTCGTCGTCGTCCTCCACGCGGTCAGGCCGAAGGGCATCCACCCCCTTGACTTCCTTGCGCTTGTCCACCTTGACCAGCCACTCCATCTCCGACTTGGCGTACTCAACCCAGAGTCTGCAGTCCTTGTTGCAGAAGCGACATCCACGCATGAAGAAGCCCCTCGCGGAAGCCATGTCTCCATTTCTAGCGGACCGCCGTCCAGCCATGATCCAGAGATCCACGTCATGCGGCATCATGCGCAGAGCGCCCGTCATGGTCTTCCGCCAGCGCTTGGCGGCCTTGACACTGGCGGTGTAGTTGAGGTACTCGCGCCACAATTCGCTGCTTCCAGGATGTTTGTTGACAGATCGGTCGTAGATGGACATGACTCGTGCTTGTCCAGCGTGCGCTGAATTGAGATGCTGGATCTTGAGGCGCTTGCAACGCTTGCTGCGGAGAGCTTCTAATGATTGCTCCCATTTTGCGTATGCAGACCATTCGGACGGCGAGTTGCCGGGACACAAGACTCTGTGTTCGTGCTCATTGCGCTTCTGGACAATGGTTCGGATCTCATCCTGAACAGCAGAAATGATTAGCAGCTGTGATTTAACAACATGAGGAGCGGAAAATGGCAAGCTTACCTTGGTGAAAATCTCCTTTTCTTCCCACTCGCGCAGTTGCGGCACAGATCGTTCGAGATAGAATCTCGCCTTTCCCGCAACGCCAGCCATATTGGTCAGTTGCGTAAGACTAAGGAGCTCGATGTAGAGTCCTAGGAAAGGGTACAACGGTTTACTAGACAAGACAACTCTGCTGGTAGCGTTGCGTTGGGAGATTAGACACCAATATGCAGGTCAGGGAAGTTTTTCATCACGAGGCTCCAAGTTCCGGAGATCCCAAAATTTTAGCGGGGCCGCTTCTATGTACGGAGACTCGGAGTACGTACCGACTCTGAGTCTCAGGCTTCAGCCTTGCTGCGGTTGCCGAACCGAGCTTGGTACTTTGGTCCCGTACCGGGCGAATCAGCTGGAGCTGTCACTCGAGGTTCCGCTGCCACATGTTGCCAGTCCATCTCCTTCTCCATCCCTGTTTCCAGTCATACCTACTCACTCGTTTCTTGTTGAAGCAGGCATTGATACTGTCCTCCTCCACGTTCGGATACCTCGGATGGGGTTCATAATCCTTGGAGGCTTCAACTGTTCATTCGTTCCTTCTTAGTTCATTTGTCAAACATCCACTGCTTCCGTCATGTCCAAGTACAAGGACAAAGACGGCGGCGTGGTCCTCAGCTTCGGGGGCCATTGGGTCAGCTGGGCACACACCGTCATCGCGTACAGTAAGAGAAATGATGAGATAGCATCAGAGATCGCAATTTGTGTGGTGGTTAACTGATTGTGCAGCCGCCTTTCTCAGCGCGTTGATTGTCGGCGTCGGCTTGCATTACCACAAGATTGTTCAGAATGAATTCTACGGTTACCCACAGGAATGGTTTCCTTCCGTCTCTGCGACAATCGGCGACCGATACCCCGAGCGGTCATTCTTCATGATATTCATTGCCATCACATCAGGTACGCGACGCTAGAACCTCTGGATCATAGTTGCTCTGAGCCTCTGCTGATCAATCGCCCAGGACCCCGATTCGCGCTCGTCGGCTTGTTCTACCTCCTTAGTCGGAAGCCGGGTACCAGACTCCCCGGCTTTGTTGCCTCGATGGGAATTCTCCGAACGCTCACATGCGGTGGCTGGACTTATATCACATCGACCGACGATCATGATTGGCACGATATTCTCATGATCTCTTACATCGTGTGCACTCTCCCCTGGACGCTGGGCTGCATTGCTCTCAGCCCGCCGAATCCCCAGGCCATCAAGTACCGAAAGTATATTGCCGGTTCTTTCTTTGGCACCTTGGTGCCTTTGGTCTACTTCTTCATTCAGCACAAAGTGCATCGAGTCGCTGGAGGTTCGTACTGTGCCACTCCAAAGTCCCATTATGATCGCAGCTGGTTTCTAACAATTGTTCAGCGTACACGATCTATGCCTTCTTCGAGTGGGCATTGATCCTCTTTGATGTTGGATTTGACGCCGTCACCGCTTTGGATTTCAAGACGTTTCAAGTTGTTGTCAAAGATGTCAGGGGTCTGAGCAAGGGGTACGTCCAGTGGCTTCCGAGATAGTACTCTGTGTGCAGCTCAATCCAAATATAATGTCGTTGTGTCATGCTCTAAGTCTTGTCGCAGTGAAAACTCGTCGTCTGTCTCATCGGTCGTTATGGATAAGGAGTGAGTCAAGTGTTCGCATTCGACCTGACGTTAGTGGACTAACCCGTTGAGCTTGAAAAGAAAAGAAAAAGCCACTGGCGGTCTTTACTCTGTGCGCTTCACCTGGTCTGAGGCTCTGGATACGGCAGCTGATGTTTATCATGGAGTGAGTGCTCTGATACTTGATCTCCATTGTCCAGACAGTATCTGACGTTTTGCTAGTTCGTCTTCTGGTCCATGTTGACCAGCCTGGGTCTTGTGGTGTGGTGTAAGTGTCTTGCGACTACGTGATTGTGCCACATCAAGCTCTTCGAAATACTGACTGAAACAGACTTTCCACTCTGGCACATGGGGATTTCTGGGTACGAGGCCTTCGTCTTGGTGTCCATCTCACCTTTGCTCCTCATCGGGCCTCTTCGATCTGCCGTCGTCAACAACCAGCGGCTCATTCATCTTCTTTCCCTATCCGGAGTGGCGGCTTACCTTGTTTTAGACCCAGCCCGTCGTCTGTTCACAGTAGGATTTGGTGTCGCCATGTCGACCTTGGGCTGGGTCGCCACTCTCCACTCCGAGTCTGTCCACGAGGCCCGGTTTGAGTCCAAGCTTCTCGGCTTGCTGGTCGGATTGATCTTGTCTTCCACTGCGAAATTCGCTTGGCAGACCAACAACCCAATCTGGCCCATTATGCATAAGGCAAATGGCGGCTGGAATCTTTGTGGTCTGATTGTTGGCATCTTGGCTGCGTTGCGCTTCACCCGCAAAGCTCCTCTCACGAGCAGCACATCCCAGGCCGTCGCAAAAGGCTCAACTGTTCTCGCAGCCTGTGGTGTCGGAGGCGTGTTCTTTGGCATGCACTCACTGCTCTCTGATACCAGCACCATGATTCTCTGGGTCTGGGAGGGTTTCCCTGTTCGTGGCCCGTACTTTTCCACTCACGGCTGGTGCACATTGGCTGCCATGTCTGCCGGTGTCTTTTTCGGCATCTACAAGCCGTCGCTCGCCGGAGGATGGGCCACATACACTGTGGGCGCGGTTGGAGCCATAGTCCTGACATTCTTCAGCCATTGGTTCGGCTACTACGGTGCTCTCATCATTGCAGCTTATCTGATGGCTGTTGCTGTTCCTCTCCTGACGAACGCCTCCAAGAAGAGCCCAGCAACTACATTTGGGCTCGGATTTTTTATCTATGTGTTTTTGGTCCTCTTCCACGTCTGGGTCGTTGCCTATGCCTTTGTACCCGGCGGTCCTCTGGTTCGTGAGCACACAGACTGGATCATGTACACCATGATAGGCCTGATTGGCGCCGGTGTCTACGACTACAACTCGTCCAAGTCGCGAAAACAAGAGGCACGCCGACCTTCGGCCTCTCAGCACAAAAAGTACTTTGGCGTCGCCGCCATCTTTGTCAACATCCTTTTCTTATGTTCTGCCTTTATGCGCTTCCCGACCAACGACTACAAGCCATATCACGCCCAAGACCGCGTTCTCACCGCCGGTATCTGGACGATTCACTTTTCGCTGGACAACGACATGTGGTCTTCCGAGTACCGCATGCGAGACCTCATCAAGGAGATGGAACTCGACGTCGTCGGGCTTCTCGAGTCAGACCTACAGCGCATCATCATGGGCAATCGTGACTCGACTCAGTTCTTGGCCGAGGACCTCGGCATGTACGTTGACTACGGCCCTGGACCCAACAAACACACCTGGGGTGCCGCTCTTCTGTCCAAGTTTCCCATCGTCGAGTCCAAGCATCATCTCCTGCCCAGTCCCGTCGGCGAACTAGCCCCCGCGATTCACGCTACTCTAGACGTCTACGGCGAGCTGGTGGACGTCTTTGTCTTCCACTCCGGGCAAGAAGAGGACCCCGAGGATCGTCGTCAACAGTCTGAATACCTCGCCAAGCTGATGGGGTCCACCCCACGACCGGCCTTCCTCCTCAGTTACCTCGTCACGAAGCCTCTGGAGGGTAACTACAACAATTACGTGAGCCAGACGTCAGGGATGCACGACGTCGACCCGACCGACTGGGATCGATGGTGCGAATACATTCTCTTCAAGAGACTCAAACGTGTTGGATACGCTCGTGTGAGCCGTAGTACCATCACCGATACTGAATTGCAGGTGGCCAAATTTGTTATCCCGCGCTCTTCTGAAGAGGCCCAGCAGCTGGATTCCATGTCTGCTGAAGAGCGAAACCGGCGTGTACGGGAGGATGAGATTCCGCAAGGGTGGCGGTTCCCGGCTATGTTTAGGGGCCAGGGTGTTCGGGATCACAGGTATCATGTTTTTGATGAGCCTAGATACTATAATTAAGGGGCGGGGCGAAAGGCGTCTTTTTGGGTTCACAAGGAGGGGCATGGTGCCGCATGGATGGAAATCTTGTATTGTTCCCAAATAACGCGTTACATAGTTGAAAGGCGGTTTGTAAATGAGCAGATGTGTTGTGATGGCATCGTGGTTGATGCTTTGCCCCAAGCTCTGCTTGGCTTGTACATATGTACATTACAAGTTTCCAAAAAAAAAAATGAGTCGTTAAGAGACCTACAAAAAACATCTCCAGGGCGTGATTCGAACACGCGACATTCTGATTGAGCTGCTCCATTACAGTCAGACGCCATAAACCAACTAGACTACCCAGAGGATATATGGTAACGCGGTGGGCGAAAAGGCGAAGCTGCATATATATTCCAGACCTGTTTCATGACTAAGCCATAGAGATCTCGCTTAATGCGGAATTCTCGAGAGCCAATCATTTCGCCAAGTTTTCATGACTAGGTAGGTATGCCATACATACGGAGTAGAGATCTGAGAACCTTCGGTCTGTAGAATTTTAGCTCCGCTTCGCTTCGCCAACAAGTTTCAGTAGAACTGCACGCGTCCATTCTGATCACGTGGAGAGGCTGGAGAGACGTATCATAAGTTAGGTACATACATATTGTATGTGGAGGAGAACGCGGCCTTCTAAGTTCTCACAATCTACGGAGTAGCGGCGGCTCTGGTGCCAAGCAGCGGCAGTCGACGGGAGACCGCCGTCATCACGGGACGCCAACACTGAACAGTGGCGTCCAACTTCCAAGTTCCAAGCCAGTGCCCCACAAAACTCCACGAATCCCGGGATTTGCAACTTGCAAGGCGCGGAAGACGGGGCGGAATTGCTTCCAGGGTCCGGCTTTACCGGTTCCATGCGGCCCATACACATACGGAGTACATAAAACATACGAAGTACCTACTCCGTACATACATATGTTCTAGGTACAAGGTAGGTAGCTAGATGTTGAGTAAGGTAACCAGGTATGTGTATGTCATTGACCAGAATGGAGAACGCCTCTGGTCGAACAAGATGAAGCAGCTCGCGTGTTTACGAGCAAGAAGCACACTCGGCCCATATCGAAGCAGCGGCAAGGCAAGTAGAACAGCAACAAAAGCACAAACAACACATGGAAGGATTTCCATCATCATACCTATGTACCTATAATCGCCGTTGCACCTCTCAACCACGTCCCGGATTCCCCAACTCCTTATTAGCGCACTCGGTCGCCCGCCCCTCCAGTTCTGTGCCGCTGAAAGCCGCAACCTCCAATCCGCGACGTCTCACTCGCCAGCAACTATGTACCTACCTACGACAAAGCACCCTTTCTTTCTTTGAACCGAACGCCCATCTTGGAACGCGGGGTAAACATGGATGGCAACGGTTCTCTAGATAGGGGGGGGGCTATGGATTTGTTTTAAGAGAGCTTTGCGCGGCCCCAGTGGTGCTAATCTTTAATACACCCACACACACATCACTTGGCTTCTTCGTTCTGTTCTCGGTGTATCATTTCTTGAGGGGTGTGAACTTCTTATTTTAACTTGGAATACATGGTTCACTCTCACGACATGGGGCTTTCATTGGGACATTTGGGGGTGTATCTGGGGGTATTGGCCGGGCTTGGGGCGCTTTATGTAAGTTGTGTGTTGTTGCGTAGAGACAGTGGTTAAAGCAGAGAGGAGGAGAGGGCGTGGTGAAAAGGAAAGTAAACACAACGAGTGGTAACGGAAGAGGAAAGAAGAGAAAGAAGGGAACGAAGATGCATTCAAAATATGCTCAGTCCTAACTGACATGCTTTGACATCGGCAGACGTTCTGCCTCGTGGTATACAGGATACTTTTCCATCCTCTGGCGAAATATCCCGGGCCGTTTCTGGCCAAGGTAACGGATGGTTACCAGCTGTACCACGCCTACAAGGGTGACCGGCACCTGGAATTCTGGCGCATGCACCAGAGATACGGTAAGACAACCAATCCATCAGAAAGAAGTCAATCATCATCATCATCATCTTGGGGAACTCGGATCCGGGCTTGGATACATTCATTCTCTAACTTGGTCATATCTTACGAATCGCAGGCAAGGTTGTACGCTTCGGTCCCAACTCCCTCTCCTTCAACTCGAGCCAGTCCCTCCGGGACATCTACGGGTTCCGATCCAACGTGCGCAAGGCCGAGTTCTACGATGCGTTTGTGCATCCGGCGGCCAACACGCACAACACGCGCGATAAGGAGGTACACGCGCGCAAGCGACGGGTGCTATCGCAAGCCTTTTCCGAGAGCGCCATGAAGGAGATGCAGAGGTATATCTTGGGCAACGTGCGAACGTTTTGCGAGCAAATCGGGCTGGTGGACGGCGGCAGCGACGGCGGCGGCGATGCCAAGGGGTGGACGCGGCCGCGCAACATGAGCGACTGGTGCAACTACCTGGCCATGGACATTCTGGGCGATCTCAGCTTCGGCAAGGCCTTCCACATGCTGGAGAAGCCCGATAACAGGTTTGCGCTGGAGCTCGTAGAAGCGGCGACGACGCGGCATCTTATCTGCGGCACCATGCCCATCGTCGACAAGCTCAAGATTGACCGATTCCTGTTTCCCCGGCTGGCGGCTGGCCGCGCGCGGTACATGGCCTACAGCAAGGGCCAGATCACGGAACGCACGAAGCTGGGCGAAGAGACGGACCGCCGCGACTTCTTCTACTACCTGCTCAAGGCGCGCGATCCCGAGACGGGCCACGGCTTCAGCATGCCCGAGCTATGGGGCGAATCCAATCTTCTCATCATTGCTGGGTCCGACACGACATCGACAGCCATGGCCTCAACCATCTTCTACCTGGTGCGCAACCGTCACGCGTGGGAGCGCGTTAGCCGCGAAGTCCGCGCCAAGTTCCGCCATGTCGAGGAGATCGTCCACGGACCGAGCCTCGGTTCTTGCACCTACCTGCGCGCCTGCATCGACGAGGCTATGCGTCTTTCCCCCTCCGTTGGTGGCATATTGCCTCGCGAAATACTCGCTGGCGGTATGACTGTCGACGGCGAGCACGTCCTTCCCCAGGGTACTGTCGTCGGCACTCCTCACTACACCATCCACCACAACGAGGACTACTTCCCCGAACCGTACAGCTACGTCCCCGAGCGATGGCTCCGCGGCGAAGTCAATCCCCTGAGCGGCAAAATCACGACCGATGACGACGTGGTCCTGGCTCAGAGCGCCTTTTGCCCCTTCTCCGTCGGGCCCCGCGGCTGCATCGGCAAGGGTCTCGCGTATGTCGAGATGACCACCACGCTCGCTCGCACCATCTTCCTGTACGATATGCGGCGAGCATCCGGCGGCGTCGTCGATCCCGCCGAGGGGAGCCCTCATTTCGAATGGGGCCGCCATCGCGAGACCGAATTCCAACTCATCGATACCTTCACCAGCGCCAAAAAGGGGCCCTTGGTTGAGTTCAGAATGGTCGACGAGAGCACCCGAGGGCTGGGAGTAGAAGTACCGTGATTGGATAAACGGTTACTACCTAGCACAAGCAGGTCATCTCTACCAGCACGTGGGGAGAAATTTCGAGAGACTTGACCGTTGGGCTGCGCCAGCCTGTTCGTGTAGCATGAGGCTTTTGTTCGTGTGGTATTCCGTATGGAGGGTGTTGTAACTTGTACGACATGTCTTCACTGTTTTGAGTCTTGATCCGTAGGTAGTTGCAGCCTCCGTATATACGTATTTTCTTCTTCACCCAAGACAGATTCCATCCAAATGAAACAAGAAACCAAGCGTAAAATGCGCCTTGCGATTACGGAGTAGGTATGTCGCGGTGCTGCGTGTGCTGATCACTGCTGAATGCTTCCCATTCGCTAGAGTGTTGAAACGACCCGTGCTGCATGCATATGTTCAAATGTTGAGATGCAGGTCGAAATGAGCACCGGGGCATCTACCAACTTCTGCCCAGCCAAACCGTTGCGCGTGTGATGTCTACGTATTACCAACGCGAACTGGAGAGTACGGTAAAAGTAAAGGCTCAAGAGTCAAGCCTGCGAACTTGATGTTATAACTTATGATAAGTCATGTCGCCTATTTCGTTTGGGACGGCACGCGTCCAGGACTCCAGGGATGCAGATGCTTTGTCGCGCCTTGTCGTGAAGGCACTGGGCAGTAAGAATTAACGGTTAGACGCCGGCCCCACTCCCCCAAGGCCCCTGGCCGGGCCGCCGGGGTCGGTGAAGGCTAGAGAGTACCTAATGTACCTACAGGTACCTATATAGGTACATGGAGCTTGGCTTTCTTCTTCGCGTCGATCTATCCGGCCTTTGGGTCTTTCGCCAGACACTCGTTTCCAGATCACACCTCACCACCACGCGTGCCTCGAACGCCGTCATCATTGGAAGAGTCGCCTTCTATGCACTCTTTGTCCTCATCTAACAACATTCCACCGACATGACGCTGTAGACGAAAGCATACCGACTCGGGACCCTCGATCGTCCAAATTCTTGACGGCTCAGCATGGTTCTGTGCAAATTCTTCCAGCAGGGTTCTTGCAAGTTCGGCCGTACGTTAGCAGACAAAAAAATGAGAATACCTCGATGCCACAAATGTCGCGCTCGGCGACCCTGCGCGCATTGCTCTGCGATCAGCCGGCGCGCTGGGGAGCGAGAAGCATGACGCAGGACTGGGTGAACGCAGCAAAAAATCAAACTCTGACCAATTTTTCTTTCTTTCCAGCTTTTTGCCGATTCGAACATCCCACCGCCGGTGGAAATCAAAGGCAAAGTCGGGAGAGATTCAGCACGTCAGCCGCGGGCGGTGAATCAGGCGGGAAGGCTTGGGAAGATGCGCTGTGTATGTCTTGTCCACCAACCTGGACGACGTTTGCTCGTGGTTCGGCCAATGGAAATACTGACTCACGTCTGTTTATAGCAAAATACAAGATAAGTCTCGAGGTCATCGAGAAGGAGCTGTCAGTGGAATTGCCGCAATGGATTCTTTCCGCCTACGGGCCTGGGCGCGATACTCCCGAGCAGCTCTTTGGAGGATATCCCCGAGAACAGAGTTTCGAAGAAGTGCGACTGTACTACGTGATGGCATGTGCTTCGGGGAATGAGCAGCAGGCTGTAAGATTATAATCTACATTTCCCTGGAAGGGTGGGAAGCGGGGTGGGGATTGGTGGTTGGTGGCAGAACTGGGAGACCAACAGCTAACCGAGAATTGATATACAGGTCTATGAAACACAGCAATTGTACCAGAATGCGCAACAGCAGATCCAGTTTGCGCTGAAAAACACTCGAGACGCGGTTCGGTTCATCCTCGATGCCGAGAGCAAACACCCCAATCGGATCGACATATGCCG